CGCATCCCGCATCCCGCATCCCGCATCCCGCATCCCGCATCCCGCATCCCGCATCCCACATCCCGGCTCCCGCATCCTGCATCCCGCATCCCGGCTACCCCATCCCGGCTCCCGCATCCTGCATCCCGGCTCCCGCCCCTCCTGCTCCGCGGGCCAGAGGAGCACAAGCAGTGCCCGCCCGCCGCGCCTCCCCCTCGGAGGTGTCACTCGACATGCAGGGCGCGTGGTGAGCCCCACCATGATGTGATATCAGCCACAACAGCAGCCGAATCCAGGAATTTGCGTTTACACAAAACACGGCTTCTCCCCCAGCACAGCCTTTCTTGTGCCTTTCTGCCCTTGTCTTTGACTTCCCTTCTTTAGGCTCAGAGCTCGCCCCTGGGCTTTGGACACGATTTCCTGTTGCTGGCAGCAAAGCCCAGACGCAGCCTCTGTAAATCGACGTTTGAACCGGCACCAATATAACTGGCTGCAAGCTGGCCCAGCTTAATTGCTGCAAAATGCACATCTTCGCCTGTTTACACAGAGGGAGGGACCAGCATCCTTTCGAGCATGACATGCCAGACTCCAACTGCCTTCTCGCACAGGAAAGACTGAATATGACACTGGGAATCTTGTCGAGGTGTTGTCTCGGCTGTTCTGTTCTCGCTGGCAGCAGAGACTCACTCCTCTTGTGTTTCTTTCAGTATGATGCCATTACCAGCTCCTGGCTTTGCCTCAGGCCCTTCAAATTCTCAGTGGGTGCTTTTTTTTTTTTTTTTATTCTACTTGTGCTGCAGGCAAGTGACCCATGAGCTAAAGTTTCCATTGGACAGATACCCATACAATAAAGGCCCCAATTGTGAGAAATTTCCTGCACTTTATCTAGAATAGTTTCAGAAGATGTTAATCTGTAGGGTGTAAACCCTGGAGGGTATGTGGTCTGAGGTCCTGGAGGGCTCATTAGCTTGAGAATCAAGCAGCCTAAATGAAAGCTGGCTGAACTTCCCCTCCTTTAGGATGATTTTGCTAACATTTCCCAGCAGGACTGCAGCATATGCCAGAATTCAGTCTGGCAAAGATTAAGGACTTCAGTCACACTAGGAGAAGGATTTCTTTTCCTTCCACCAGCTGTCACCATCTTCTGGCCTGTCTCCCCTGTGCATGGACTGAGTAGTGTGGACTATCCAGCATTTTCTTCCCCTTGCACAGTCAGGATGGAAGTGTGGCTGTCTCTGGCCCATCACTGATATCCCCTCAGGAATTTCCACTTACTTTTGTTCTCTCTCTTACTTGCTTTCACTTCTCTCCTGCATTTTTTCCAGTTCATTTTCTCCAGGTGGCCTGTCATTTAAAGTCTTCATCTCCCTGTATTTTTTTCCTTCATGACTGTATCTCCTTGTTGTATTTCCTTGATTCTGTATGATGCCACTAACCAAAGCAAGCTTCATTTGAAGACAATCTCTGAAAGAGCTGATTTGGAAGCGCCAGTTGCTTGCAGCTGCAACTGTAGTTGCCATCACCTGTAAGGATGCAGGCACCATTTTAATTTTTATTTTTATTTTTTTTTATGGAGAAGGACAATTGTCATCGTTTTATTGTCCTCCTTCACTGTTCTCCATTTATATTGTGGGGATAGTTAGATGCTCTCAGCATGCATGGTGCTGGCACCAATAAGGACATCAGTGCTGAGAACTTTCCACCACCCATGCTGCTGTGACAGCCTCTCTGGCATGGTGACAATCTGTCCAATCAAACCAGGGAATGGTATCGACCTGGCAGCTTCATCTGCTTTCCAACTCTGCCTCCTAGATCACTGTCAGACTGCATCAGGCTTCTTTGTGTGCTCACAGGAGCCACATTAACAATAGGTTTTTTCATCTTCTGTGTTCAGCTGTTTCTATGCTCTCCTGTGTGTGGATCCTTTTTTTTTTGGCGTCAGAATATGTTGTGTCTTAGAAGAAATCCTCACAGGTAGTTCTTTCCTGCCTATCAGTAAGGATGACAGGATCCCTGGAAGGTTCTGTGGCTGTAGCACAGTGAAATTAAAGAGTTCATAGTCAGGGGGTAGGAGGACTTTCACACCCTATAATGTTTAATATCAGTACTATTTTCAATATATTGTGGACACTAACCAGCTCAGCAGTCCCTTTGGCTATGACAGTGCTCACTTCTTATTTAAAACTCAGAGACTTCACTTGGGGAACTGTCCTGCCCCAGTGGCAGTAACAGACAGGTGTGGGGACAGCAGAAGAAAAGGTGTGAGCTGTACTTGCCGCAGCATCAGTGTCTGTATGTTTATGATAAGCCTCAGCTTTCTGATGGAGCTGTCGAAATGTAAATTCCATCCAGGTGTGCTTAGTCCCAGCTTTTGTTCTTCTCAGATAAAGGCAATCTGTTTCTGCAGGCCTTTGAGTTGGTTTCTATCCTGGAGACACAGCACACTGTGTAGGAATGATAGCTGAGCTGGCCAGGATCGTTTGGCTTTCACTGGGAAAAGTTGCTTGGACAGAACCAAAAGATTTCTGTTTAAAAGAGGGGATTAGCTGGATAGTCTATCCTGTGTGAGACTTGGGTTTTAAACCTGGCTCTGTGGCATCCCTGCTGCATGCCACAGGCTATCAGATGTTTTATAGGACAACACAGGATGTGGGGCAGAAGCCAGTGAGAGTGGGAGGGAAGGAGGGACCCTATTTGTGCTGTGAGTCAGAGTAAAATCATCTCATTAGAGTGAGGCTTTTCAGGAAACAGAGCTGCTGATTTATGGCCAATTGTCCTTGAGCTTGGCTGAAGTGAGCCAGGGAAGGTATTTCTGGGAAAATGGAACTTCCCAGGTGATGTGATACCTTGTTTCATATCACATTTTGGTTTGCTTGCATTGCCCGGTTGTTTTTTGCCAAAACCCATCTGTTACTTTGCAGAGCTGCTCTCCAGCCTATTTTACCACCTTCTGTAGAACTGATTGGATTAGAATTAAATGCTATAAAAACCTATGGAGGAGACCATTTACCCTGTCCCTCCTGGTAACAGAACTGCAAGGGTGGCAACTGGCACCAGAACAGCAGCAACAAATAGCCAGGGATAGTCCTGCTGCAGTCCTGTGAATAATTTGTGTGATAGTATGTGGAACTATCCTGCTTCAAAACATCTGCAAAGATATGATGCAAGACTCATAACTTGGGATGTTGTTTTGGGATTTGGACTTGAGCCCATTTCACAGCTCACCCTGTTCCTTCTTCTTTAGGTATTGCTACAGAATCCCTGTATAAGACAGATTGTTGCTTGAAGTCAAGATAGAGCGGTCCTGGCTCATCTATCTTTCTAAGGCTAAAGACCAGGGTGAACTGGGGCCAGGGAGAAGAAAATGAAGTTTCCTTATTCCTTGTCTTACAGAAGTCTTCATTTGAATTGGGATTTTTTTTTCCTTGCCTCGTGCTTTTGCCCAAACCCTTTGCCCTACCATCTCCTGCACAGCCACTATGCCCTTAGAGAAACTCTTTATCCCTGTGTCTCCTTTCACTCACCACTGCCCACTGCTGCAGCTCGGGTTTTCCCTTTGGAGATGCACAGATTCAAGAGATGAGATGACACAGGGTGACTTGGGGACAGAGATCAGAGACGAATTCCACTGCCTAGATACCTTGCCTCTGCGATGCTCGTGCTCATCATTTGTACTTGCAGAGAAGCCTGCACTCATTAGGCTCTGACCACAGGGCAGGCAGGGGTTTCCCCAGAGCTGTTGGTGCTGCTGCTGGAAGGAGATGGGGCATTTTCAGGCTGGCAAGAGGAGCAGTGGTGCCTGCAGCCCCCGGAGACAAGCGTCCCACTGCCTGTGCCTGCTGTGGGCTGCGCCCGAGGCAACAACAGGGGCCAGCCCTGCCCAAGTCTCCCCAGCTCTGCCGGCTCATTCCTCCCACTGCTGAGGATGTGTGGGCAGCTGCCTGCTGCCTCTGGGGCAGCATGGGATCTAGGTAGTGCTGAGAGGTGGCCTGACTTCTGCTACCACTCCAAGAAATTCCTCTAGTTGTGGAAGGGCCCTGCAAATGGACAAGTAGAGCTGCATGGAGGTGTGATGTATCCCAGCCTGGCTTTCTTTGCCTGTCTCACGCATGTTCCCTCCTTAGGGGAAGAGTTTCCTTGATGAGCTGGAGCAACCAAGGGGAAGTATCACCTTTTAGGACAATCTCTTGGCAGTGAGAAGTGTCTGGGTAGCACAGGAATGATGCAGAAAAGGGAGACCTCCTTTAAAGAGTGAGGGGAAACCCTTTACACTATTGTACTGCTCAGGCAGACTTTCCCAATCTTTCTTTTTTTCAAACACCAGCTTTCAAAACAGAAGCTATTTCACTATCTTTCCCCATCATCAAAACCCTTTGAAAGTCATTAGGGAAGCATATGCTTCATAAAAAGACAAAACAAGCTTAAAAACAGGGATCAGTAATTTTTTTCTGGGATATTTATTTGCCTTTTGTTTTTTGAGCTCTGAACTGTCCTTCCTGTTCTTTGTCCCTCAGGCCTGAACAAATATTTAATGTCAGATGAGTGGCTGTGACGCAGGTCTAAAGCTAGAGGGGCTGAGATGTAGGAAAAGCCTTCAGAATCTGACAGCAAAGGTCAACAACATCCAAGAGGCTACAGAGACATGTTCTGGGGAGTGCTGTAGTTTTTTGATACACTGATTTTGGTGACAATTGTCTTCCATAAAGCTCCTGGCTTGTACAGATTCTCCTGTACTATCCAACTCTGCGAGGTGATAAAGCCTCCTTAACAGGATTTATAATAGATGTGGGGTCAGAAAAGTTTAGCTGTTGGGGGACCAACATCTAATATGTGCATAGGAAATATTTCCTGATACTCTGCAAATTTTTAAAAGAGGAAAATAATGCAAAAATGCAGTTGTGTTTTGATTTCTATTTCGTTGAGTAATAAAGAGCAGCATATTGAATGTTATAAATGGAACTAAAACATTATGACTCATATGTCCCATCACTGAACTGTCAGAAAAAGATGTTTTGTATTTCTGGTTGAGTTATCTACATGCTGATGATCTCAAATAATTTTTTTCACTGCCATATTCAAGCTTTCAGTGAAATAACAAATATGACCAGAGCGCCTAAGAGGAAAACAGCTGAGGGCACACTGATCACTCATCAGTTTTCATCATTTCTCTCTTGGCTGTCAACAAATCTACTTACCTAACCTCCTTTATTTATAGCCTTATCAGATCCCTGTAACTAATAATGCTTTTTGTTTACCCAGCAGACTCCTGAGCTGGACCTCCTTAATGCCAGACCCCTGCAGTGCTGTTGGTCCCTGGTATGTGCTGGGGATTTCTTCTAGTTCAGGTGTGGCCCACAGTCACATTCTGACAGGGTTCTGCTGACTCCTCCCAGCTGAGATTTAGTGCTAGCACATTTTTGTGCCATGCCTTGCATGTGAGGAGCTGGTGTTCTGGGTGGTACTGAGCGTGGCTCATGATGTGCGTTGCAATGACCCGCTCCTGCTGCACACAGCAGGTGTCTGGGCAGCTTCCCAGGGAGGGACTGGCTCTTTCTGAGGGCAGCCACCATCCCATGACAGAACCTTAAGTAAAGACATCCCATTCCATGGTGGGAGGGTTAAATATTATCTCAACAGTCCAGCAAGTGATTTTCATCCAGTCTTAGGATGCTGCAGCAGCAGGAGGAGGCAGTTCCAGCCCCAGGTGTTTGGAAACTGAAAGCCCTCAGCATCCAGCCTTTTGCTGCCAGCTCACTCCGAGAATCTTGGCCTGTGGCTTGACAATATGACATGAAGCTGTCACAGAACAGCAAAAGCATCCCCTTCCCTAAGATGTGGGAAATCCAGGTCAGCATGTCATGCTGCTGTTGCAGTACACAGGAGATGATGTAGTCTGAAAGAGAATCTGACCTAGGACATGATATGTTCTTGCATCTCAAGCTGTGTTAATTTTACACCCTTGTGTCATTTGCTAATGTTGTTTGCATGAGGGAGAGCATGTTAGTGAGAATCAATCAGGTAAATTTACTAATCTAAGAAATTACAGCTGTTGTACATTGTATCGTCACCAAATGGGACCAAAGAAACTTATCCAACACCAGTTTGATGTGAATAAGCAGACGCTTCTTTATTCAGGCACCAGGAATATGGGGAATAGCTCCTCTGTAAACATATTCCACTTAACTAACCAAACCCATCCATTTTATATACTTTTTCTGCTGAATCATCAGTACATGGGTTATTTTACATACTATATGTACTATGCATGTTCTTAAAGATAACATTTGCATTGTTTGGTTTCAGTTGTTAATAACTTCACCAATATTCTTA